GTCTTCAATTACGTTATAAAATTAAAAAATATAATATCTGTACAATGCAACATTTCTCTCAACGTTACATATAAAATATTTGGTATGCATACAATAACATGAAATTCTTACAATGTAAAATATAAACATATTGCATGTTTGGACGAAAAATATTCCGAATTTATTTATTAACGATCTCTTAAAAGTAAGTCAAATCTACAAAAATTTTAAGTAGATTTAAAGTAAAAACTTAACAAACACATAACAATTCGTATTATATGCATCCGATTTCATATTCAATATTACATTTTTAATTTCTACAACTAATGTTGAAAATACGCTGTGCGATGTATTTTCGACACTCCCGTCGCATAAGTCGCGTTGATTCTGACGAGCGAATATATCACGCGCGATACGTGCCGAGTAGAGCTGAAATTTTTCTTCGAAGATTTTCAATTTCGAAGCTTCGAATCTTCGAAGATTCGAAGCTTCGTAGAAATTATTCGAGAATTGAAGTTTTCGAATTTTTCGAAGATTCGAAGTTTCGAAGTTTCGAATATTCGAAGTCAACTAATGTATTAACAAGATAAAAACAATAACACATTTTGCAAAATTAATCGTTTTTACTATAACTGTGAACTAATTAAATGCCAACTAATTAATATCATTACAAGTATAAAAAAACAAATGTACTTTTTGTCGGACACATTTTTGTCCATTCGCTCATAAAAATACAATTAATTCGAAGGAAATAAATTTTCTATCATTAACATTTTATCTTATTAACTATTTCTTTTTACTGCCTGATACAGTTGATAAATACAGATGATAAATTAGGTTGGTCTTTGAAAGCTTATATCTTAATGCATTAGTTGACTTCGAATATTCGAAACTTCGAAACTTCAAAAATTCGATATTCGAAGTTTCTTCGTTTCTTCGGATACTTCAAAGCTTCGAAGTTGCGAAGCTTCGAATAATTAAGACCACTAGTGCCGAGTATTCACTTCGATACACTCGCGAATCGCTGAAAGTAACACCTGGTTGATTATACGACAGGTAAATGCTTATTGTACGCGAACGAATGTCGATAGATCTTACGGCTACGACGTACGCATCTGAACTGCGTGCCGGTGACTTTGTGCCACGCGGTGACCTCGGCGAACAAAGCGCGTCATGCTCGCCGACGCAATCAATTCAAAGAAATTCAATTCCAATAATTGCTCGTGAAAACCCGAATCGATCTTCGAAATATTTTGACACGTTAATATCGGATTTTCGAGCAAAGTTGAAAGGATCGCAACGCCGATTGTTCCGATACGTTCCGCGTAACGTTAATGGCAAGTGGCAACGCAGCGAATATGTCGGCAACTTAACGTGATAATACCCCACATAGCACATAATATTATGTAATATATTTGAAATATTCCCATACAACACAAAAGCTTGCAACAACATTACCGCAAGATTGCAACATTGCATCTTGCAGTGCAATGGTACATAGATATTGCAGAGACATTATTTTACAATATTGTATAATATTGTAAATAAATAATATTACTTTAGTAATGTTGTAGCAATATTATTTTAAAATATTGATACAATTATGTTTGTAATATGTATATTGTTTCCTCATATCACTTTTATAGTTTACTAGAAATAACAAAACGCGCGTTTCGCGCGCGCAGTTTGTAGTTCAGCATTGTATATTTTTAAGAATTTGTATACATGCAAAGAGAAGTGATTGTATGCGCAACGTCAATTTAAAATAAAAAGTAATTTTTCACTCACTGATACGACTCGCAACAACGCAGTTGCAGTACATCGTCAACTAGGTATATATGTTAAACTGTTAACTGTAACAATACAAATATGCATATGATTATAGACTAATCATGTAAAATTGAAATTACTGTATCAAATATACTTTATATTTTATATTTAAAAAAATAGGCATGTATTAAAATAATTATACATATAGAATGCTGAAAAAGTCTTCCTTTTAAATATAAACTCACAAGATTTTCTACGTATGATTTTGTCTCTAACATTTATTCGAATCCTTTGAACCCCACTCGTTCGAATCATTTGAACAAATAAAATAAAAGCACAGAACAGATGCTTTATTTTACACAAGTAGCAAATAAATAAAAATGTAAGACACTTACCTTACGATTTCTCCGCCGTTGCCCGATGCCTCCCGGGCCTGCTCCTCCTCTCAGATTTCCTCATTGCACTCGCACAACACTCACTCGCAAAAATCATCGATCGCGCGAAATTTCCGGCACTCCCGTACGCGATGTGAAATACCGCGAAACGCACGAAATTCCATTGACAAATAGGTATCGCGTGACTTTCTATCATACAAATTACTCAAATTAACAACTTGCATTTTTTATTCGTATAATCTGCGGTAAAGAAGTGGTTATTAGTCCGTAACGAAACGATATTTTACAATCTTTGTCATTTGACCTAATCCTTGAAACGAAATCGATAGATAATTAAAAGCGCGGTGCGTAAACGAGATGTAACCGCAACAAAATACCACGGATTACATTTATAATTTAGATGAGTTAGTCTCATGAAATATTTTTACGTTGATAAAGAACCGTCGCCTCAACATACAATTCGTTTCTCTTTACAAGTTGTAGGAACTTAATAATTAATCGAGGAACGTTACTTATTACTGATAAAGGTGTGCAAATCAATATAGTGTTTTATCCCTGCATTCATCGCGATCGAGTCTTGGAAACCGATAACGCAAAAGTAATACGACGCACGGAGCGACTCTCGCTGCTGCCTGCCGGCTCGACGTTCGGCGAGCGAGTGAGAGCGCAGCGACCTTCAGCTAAACTTTGGCCCGCGTAACGTCGTACGATACCGCGCCGAGTGAAAAACAACAAAAAAACGTTGAGAATTCGTTGTCCCGCTCCCCGTTGTCTACGAAATGGAAAATTCCGTACTTAATATTTTACATTACTTTGTTCCGTGACTGTTACTACGTTTTGTGTAACATTCTGCGGACTTATTGGAACCGATTAAATAAACGATTAATTCTGTTCAATCGAGAAAATGTATCGGAACAAAAATCATTGTTACTTAAATTCTAACTACTAAGATTAGAGATTTTACCTCAATAGTTGGTGTATACAAATGTATGTTTCTAAATTGCAAATCTTCATTTACTACGAATTTAAAAGAGAAGTGAAGCACACCGCGGTTCGAGAAACATATATTATGCATGCATTATATTGCTATGTAGCTGTAATATTACATTGTAATATTTCTGAAGGCGGACATTTTACCGTTGCTGCAAGATTGCAGCAGTGTTGCAGCAACATTTCGCAGCGTACAGGCCATGTTGCAATCTTGCGATTAATTATTGCTACAATGTTGCTGAAACCTTGCTGTACTGTATGGGACATTGGAAAGTACCAAATAGCAACGTAACATTAAATAACATCTTCGTGTCATTTTAATGACGTAATAAAACGTAACGAGGCGTAATTAAAAAGTCATTTGACATAATCTTGCGCTACTTTGGATCTGATATACTGCAGCAATATTACTGTTATATTACTGTATAGTGTATAATATTTCTATGTAACATATTAGCAATATTAATGTAATATTGCAATGTATTATATAAATGAATTATATTGGTAATATTACTGTAATATTACACTGCAATATGTATTACTGCAATATTATTATGTTACTGATATATTATGTAATATTATGTGCTATGTGGGTAATCAAGTTGCCAAATTGCGCGCAGAAAAATATCGCTTAAATAAATTTAAATTGTTCGAAAGTTGTTATTTTAAATTTGCCTGGCAAAAATGATGACTTGAAACAGAGTAATCCGTTTATCTGGCGCCCGCGCGGCAAGTACAAAAGTAGAAATGGTGACAAATGAGGTTACAACTATTGGTGGATGCAGTCGACTTAGCAACGAATTATCGGTGTAACCAGAAAGATTAGGATAGACTTTCCTCGGGATATAATCCGAATGCATTCAAGTAACCCAAAGTTAAGCAGTCCGACTATGAAATATGGAGCATGCCGGAACGACAGCAACCTACCTACCTGGTGATCGGCAGAGGACAATAAAAGGTAGAATAAAATGGAAAACATCTATATTACTGTTATATTACTGTGTAATATTTCTATGTAACTTATTAGTAATATTAATGTAATATTGCGATGTATTATACAGGGTGTCTGATGCAAAAGTAGCCAACTTGAAAATAGTGGTAGATTGGGTTAAATTAAGGAGAAATATCAAGTGCCGCGGTACAAAAGTAACAATAGTTATCGAGTAATTAATTTACACGTCTGAGCTAATGAGGATGCAGAATACGGTAGACCGGACTCGGAAGGCATTTAAGAAAATCGATCGATGAGACTTTACAAAATTAAAAGTATTATTCCACTCGCTCATTAAAATTACTAATAAAATTATTTTTATTATTAATTAATAAAATGTACTTATTGTACTAAAATTAATTATAAAATTATTTTAAGATTCTGCAATTTTCTAACTGAATGACAATATCGTTCGACAATAATACGAACGACAATAATAATCGTTCTATGGATGAAGATAAAACAAAAAAACGAAGATTACACCGATCTGAAATTACATGAATTTCCGTCACGAACAATCGTAATGTAGAATAAAGATAAAGAAGAATAAAGTACACGCAAATTGTATAATATTAAAAAGTAATATCAAAGCAGTAATAATAATGATAACGTTGTCGAATGATAAGGCGTAGAGTATAAGTTAGAATTTTCGCTTCGATTCAAAGCCAAGTTTTCTAAATTTTGTAACTTTGCAAGAAGTTGTGTCTATAGCCAACGAGAACGTTAAAAAAATCAGATTGAAAATCATGGCACTAATTTTCAATATATTATTTCTTGTCATAGTAGCGGAAAATTTTGCTGGTACATTTGCGACAGATTACTGCAAATTAAAATCATGTGAACACAAAGGCATTCATACCATGTGCACCTACACCGTAAGTAAAATTATGTACGTAATATAATACATACATTATTTATGTAGGTATATAATTAAATATCTATATATAATTAATGAATGTTATACAGTTGATTAGCGTAGGTAAAATTCTTCTTTTTCTTCTTCTAAATTTAAGTAGATATCGAAAGTTATTTTAATTATTCTCCGGGTATTTGAAATTTAATTTTACTAACAATAAGAGCTTTATAGCTGAAACTGTTTGCTCTATTAAAATGCTTAATATTTTAATTTGTATTGCACATAGTTAATCCTATAATATCATATTACAGTCGCCAAAACCGGCGAAAACATGCAAGGAATGGCGTGATCAAGGTTTTAGTGATGCTGAAAGGAAAGCTATAGTAGATAAACACAATCAACTGAGGCAGAAGGTTGCATCGGGTAAGGAAAAGAGAGGATCGAATGGCCCGCAACCGGCGGCGGTTCGTATGCCGGATTTGGTGAGATATAATGAATAATATATTATTTAAAAGGACTAAAATATTTTGGTGTTATAAACGTGTTATAAACATTTCCATCCTAATTGACGCGCAAAACTAAATTAATTCTCCAAAATGAAGAAGAACTATGACGGATAAGTTTGTTATCAATCCAAGTTTAAATTTTGCATAAGGTGCAACTCTTTCCCCCAATTTTATAATTGTATAATCCTAATTTGTACGCATCTTAAACTCTAAATATATATACAAAAATCTACATTTTACACACACAAATTTATAATTTATGACAGAGTTTGTAGTAAATCATTTTTATCATTTTATATAATATGTATAATAGCAGGACGTGCATGAGAATATGGATGTGTGCATGGCACATACATTATATAAAATGTAGAAAAGAATGTTGTTCCGATTTCTGTTAAACTGTAATCCCATGTCAATGTCATTATGCGAATAACAATATATTTAATTTTCACTTATTATTTCTCAGACCTGGGACAAAGAACTAGAGACAATTGCGCAAAGATTGGCCAATCAGTGCGATTACGGTCATGATAAATGTAGAGACGTAGGTGAGTAATAATCTATGACAGCATTTCTCAAACGGGGAGTCGTAACCTCCAAGCATAGATATAGCAAGAATACATAGCAAGAGAGAACATGTACAAACCTACAAACTTCAGAACGAGATAGCCGACAGTTGGGTGGTCGTTTCATCTTAAAATAGTGGGGGTAACAGAAGAGTAAGGGGAACGATAGAGAAGAGAGGGCGACCACTCAAAGTATGTTGTCTCTTTCTAAACGTTTTATACTTCTTCAAACGCGCAGTCTATATATTATATATTAGACATCTATGTCTCCAAGAGGGTCACGGTACATATAGCAGAGAGGTCGCGAAATTTTATAAAATTTCTTATACGAATTTTTTTTAACTGTGTTAATTTTTTTTACATTTTGAGATGCCACAGAGCTAAAAAGTTCGAGAAACGCTGATCTTATATGCAATTACGTTTCTATTCATATATTATTATATATTTATTTATTGTTGTAGAAAGCTTCCAAGTTGGCCAAAATATAGCCGAGAGATCTAGTTCGATTAAAGATGCCACTAGTGTGGACGAGATGATACAATCGTGGTATGATGAAGTGGCTCATTTTGATAGACGTGTCCTTTCGTCATTTGCGTAAGTATTGATACCAGTACACAGGGTGTCTTATTTTAAATGATCCACGCAAATATCTCCAAAAATATGAAAGATACGGAAAAAGGTTTCGAACAAAAGTTGTTTGGTTCGAAGGGGGACATAAGGTGAAACGTTTTTCCGTATCTTTAATATTTTTGGAGATATTTGCATGGATTATTTAAAACGAGACACCCTGTATATATTAAAGCGTGAGACATCTAAATTAATTAGTAAAAACTATTTCTCTTAGCCGTGTTAACAATTTCACATGTTAAAATAGCGAAGATGTATTTGTAAAGAAATTTTACCAATGTAATTCCTTGAAGCATATTCATGATGTATAACATTAATTTAATGTAAAAAATTGAATGTCATTTCAAAACATTTAAATTTGTATACAGAGATCCTGATGGAAGCATAGGACATTATACACAGATCGTCTGGGCTGACACAACGAAAATCGGATGCGGACGAATAAAATACAAGCAACCACATAGTATGTTTGCACATTATTTAGTTTGCAACTACGGTCCAAGTGGAAACGCAAGAGGCACAAAAGTATATGAAATAAAGAAATAGATTTCGTCATCCTCGATAATTTTATATGTATAAAAGATGGTCGGGAAAAAGTAAGCAAAAAGAGTCCATTCTTTTACAAGACTATCTCTTTATACGTGAACATGACGCTTTTTCGATTACACCTTGAATTGGAGCAGCAATAAAAATATCAACAACAATATCTTTAACAAAAACTTTAGCAAAACCTATAAATAAGAATGTATTAAATTTTTGAGAAAATTATTTTCGTCTAAGATTTTTGCGCACGTGGTGTAATCTTTTTTTCACATTTTCCCCTAAAAAGTTTCATCCGCTCGGATTGATTTGCTCACACTTGAGCGGAAATAAATTTTAAATAACTGCTTTATGCAACCGTTTGTATTTCGTAAGGTAACGTTTGAAGTGTAATTGAAAAGATTTGTGAGTCATTCGTTTATTTGTAATTAACTAATTTGTTTCCACCCGGCATTTAGCCAGAATAGATAAATTAAATAAAGTTTTTATATAGAATTATGCAAACAATAATACACGATATGCAAATAATAATACATATATGTATATAAATCTTACTATGTAAAGTACATTAATAGAAAATGTTACGCAGTGTTACGCAATGCTATGTGATTGTGCCTGTGGTCTTACATTTTTTATTAATGTTCAAAATCGTAAATACAAATCTGTTGATCAATTGCAAACGAAAATGTATCGATTAAAAGAATATATGTGGACCCAATTGAATTAAAATTGTATTTGATGAAAAGAAATCGATCTATAGAAGCCCTCCACCACCCCCGCCGATTTCGATTGGCGGTCCTCTTTCCTTTACAATGTGATTTTTCACATTTTCATTATTTATTTTATTTTTCTTATAATTTACTTTACCATGTATGCAATATTAAAAAAGAAATAATTACGTTATAAAATTGAAAATATAATATCTGTACAAAGCAACATTTCTCTCAACGTTACATATAAAATATTTGGTATGCATACAATAACATGAAATTCTTGCAATGTAAAATATAAACATATTGCATGTTTGGACGAAAAATATTCCGAATTTATTTATTAACGATCTCTTAAAAGTAAGTCAAATCTACAAAAATTTTAAGTTGATTTAAAGTAAAAACTTAACAAACACGTAACAACTTATTATATGCATCCGATTTCATATTCAATATTACATTTTTAATTTCTACAACTAATGTTGAAAATACGTTGTGCGATGTATTTTCGACACTCTCGTCGCATATGTCGCGTTGATTCTGACGAGCGAATATATCGCGCGCGATACGTGCCGAGTATTCACTTCGATACACTCGCGAATCGCTGAAAGTAACACCTGGTTGATTATACGACAGGTAAATGCTTATTGTACGCGAACAAATGTCGATAGATCTTACGGCTACGACGTACGCATCTGAACTGCGTGCCGGTGACTTTGTGCCGCGCGGTGACCTCGGCGAACAAAGCGCGTCATGCTCGCCGACGTAATCAATTCAAAGAAATTCACTTCCAATAATTGCTCGTGGAAACCCGAATCGATCTTCGAAATATTTTGACACGTTAATATCGGATTTTCGTGCAAAGTTGAAAGGATCGCAACGCCGATTGTTCCGGTACGTTCCGCGTAACGTTAATGGCAACGCAGCGAATATGTCGGCAACTTAACGTGATAATACCCCACATAGCACATAATATTATGTAATATATTTGAAATATTCCCATACAACACAAAAGCTTGCAACAACATTGCCGCAAGATTGCAACATTGCATCTTGCAGTGTAATGGTACATAGATATTGCAGAGACATTATTTTACAATATTGTATAATATTGTAAATAAATAATATTACTTTAGTAATGTTGTAGCAATATTATTTTAAAATATTGATACAATTATGTTTGTAATATGTAGGTATATTGTTTCCTCATATCACTTTTATAGTTTATTAGAAATGACAAAACGCGCGTTTCGCGCGCGCAGTTTGTAGTTCAGCATTGTATATTTTTAAGAATTTGTATACATGCAAAGAGAAGTGATTGTATGCGCAACGTCAATTTAAAATAAAAAGTAATTTTTCACTCACTGATACGACTCGCAACAACGCAGTTGCAGTACATCGTCAACTAGGTATATATGTTAAACTGTAACAATATAAATATGCATACGATTATAGACTAATCATGTAAAATTGAAATTACTGTATCAAATATACTTTATATTTTATATTTAAAAAAATAGGCATGTGTTAAAATAATTATACATATAGAATGCTGAAAAAGTCTTCCTTTTAAATATAAACTCACAAGATTTTCTACGTATGGTATTCGAATCCTTTGAACCCCACTCGTTCGAATCATTTGAACAAATAAAATAAAAGCACAGAACAGATGCTTTATTTTACACAAGTAGCAAATAAATAAAAATGTAAGACATTTACCTTACGATTTCTCCGCCGTTGCCCGATGCCTCCCGGGCCTGCTCCTCCTCTCAGATTTCCTCATTGCACTCGCACAACACTCACTCGCAAAAATCATCGATCGCGCGAAATTTCCGGCACTCCCGTACGCGATGTGAAATACCGCGAAACGCACGAAATTCCATTGACAAATAGGTATCGCGTGACTTTCTATCATACAAATTACTCATTAACAACTTGCATTTTTTATTCGTATAATCTGCGGTAAAGAAGTGGTTATTAGTCCGTAACGAAACGATATTTTACAATCTTTGTCATTTAACCTAATCTTTGAAACGAAATCGATAGATAATTAAAAACGCGGTGCGTAAACGAGATGTAACCGCAACAAAATACCACGATTTACATTTATAATTTAGATGAGTTAGTCTCGTGAAATATCTATACGTTGATAAAGAACCGTCGCCTCAACATACAATTCGTTTCTCTTTACAAGTTGTAGGAACTTAATAATTAATCGAGGAACGTTACTTGTTACTGATAAAGGTGTGCAAATCAATAGTGTTTTATCCCTGCATTCATCATGATCGAGTTTTGGAAACCGATAACGCAAAAGTAATACGACGAACAGAGCGACTCACGCTGCTGCCTGCCGGCTCGACGTTCGGCGAGCGAGTGAGAGCGCAGCGACCTTCAGCTAAACTTTAGCCCGCGTAACGTCGTACGATACCGCGCCGAGTGAAAAACAACAAACAAACGTTGAGAATTCGTTGTCCCGCTCCCCGTTGTCTACGAAATGGAAAATTCCGTACTTAATATTTTACATTACTTTGTTCCGTGACTGTTACTACGTTTTGTGTATCATTCTGCGGACTTATTGGTACCGATTAAATAAACGATTAATTCTGTTCAATCGGGAAAATGTATCGGAACAAAAATCATTGTTACTTAAATTCTAACTACTAAGATTAGAAATTTTACCTCAATAGTTGGTGTATACAAATGTATATTTCTAAATTGCAAATCTTCATTTACACGAATTTAAAACAGTAATATTACGATAATATTACGTAATACATCACAGTATTATTATTGATTATCACAGTAATATTACTACGATTATCTCGGTAATATTTCATTGGGCGGACATTTTAATATTACTGTGATATATCAGTAATATTACAGTATTATTTCCGATATATTTTATTGTAATATTACAATAAAATTGGAAATGTAATATTACTACGATATTACTATAATATTACGTGCTATGTGGGACGCGAGTTAAGTGGGCGGCTAGTAGAATAACGCATCAATTGATCAAAAACTCACGATTAAAATGGCACGCACGATACGTAGTGAACTCATAATTTTTGTGAATTTGGAAACTACATTATTAACTCTGTGTACATACAGAGAAGAATCGTGATTGCCGGTACGTTAATTACGCGGCGCACGTACACTGAGAAAAATTTCCATCGGATAAACCAATTGAATGTTTTCGATGGTTCATTTTTCCGATTGACTTTTCCGATTTAATTGTGTACATATCATATGAAATTTATCCGATGAAACTTGATCGAAAAGCCGATCATATTCTTCATCGGATAAACAATTAATCAAGTTGCCAAATTGCGCGCAGAAAAATATCGTTTGAATAAATTGAAATCGTTCGAAAGTTATTTTTAGTTGCCTGGCAAAAATGAAGACTTGAAGCAGAGTAGTCTGTTTGGCACGCGTGCGGCGAGTACAAAAGTAGAGATGATGACAAATGAGTTTACAAATATTTGGTGGTCGTAGTCGACTTAGCAACGGATCGGTGTGACCTGAGAAATTAGGATGGTCCTTCCTCGGGATGTAATCCGAGTGCATTCAAATAACTGTTTAACCCGAAGTTAAGCTGTCCGATTATGAGAAATGGAGCGTGCCGGACAGCAACCTACCTGCCTGGTGATCGGCAGAGGACAATTAAAGAAAGGACAAAAAGGAATACCGCTCAGGATGTATCGGACCTATCGCCAAAATAGTACAAAGTCGCTAAAAATTTGTGAAATTGTTCTTTCAGTCTTCCTAATGTACTGCAGAAAAGTAAAAATGCATCCACTAAACGGTTGCTGAGATATAAAGTATTTTAATTTACACTGACTTTACACGTACTCTTATGGAAAGAGCCGATCTTCACGGATAAAACAGCTAAAAAAATGTAGCGTTTGCATTTTTTTATACATCTAGTATACGAATATATTACACTGCACGGCAGTATATTACACTACATATGTAATATTACTGCAATATTATAATATTACTGATATATTACGTATGTGCTATGTGAGTTGTTATTACGTCATTGGATTATCCGATTATATGTAATCGAACATTTTCCTCAGTGTGTGAGCGAATCTCGGATTGCATCCTGATCCGGCAGCCCCCTCGCTTAACGGATTACATTACTCGCACCTTCTTCCGTTTACAAGCTACTCATCCCCACGGGCAGTCCAGCCTGCAGTGGCGATCCTGCGAGCGATCCGTAGCCTTCAGGTGCGCGCAAGGAGGAAAGTCAGCGCGTATTCATCGTCCCTGAATTGCGAATGGATACGAGCGATATATCCATATATCAGAAAGTCAGCGGCGCCCCGGGTGTGCCCGTGGCTTCCCGGTGAGCGCGAGAACGCGCTCGTCCTGCGAGGGGGAGTGTAAGAGAACCCCCGAAGAAGAGGTCGGTATCATGCGTAAGGCAGGAGGGAAGGTGGCTGGCCCATTAGGGGCTCTAAGCGCTTTTTAAAACCGGACCCCGGCAGAAACGTATCGAGTGTCGGACGCGCAACAATGACGCGGGCAAACATTCCGATATACAGGCCCACCCGCGGCGTGCGTCGCTGCACAAAGAACGCGATCTGCGACATGGACAGCGCAACACGCAGGTAATGTTTGGACGCGCGTAGAAGGCGGGAAGAATGGACGGTGACGGCGAAAGCGGAAGAATTTGTATTCGCTGACAGCGATTTCCTCGGAGCGACAGCTATTAGGGGGTTGAAGCCTTGTAAATTCATTGCAACGTCGGGTAGTGACGTAAACGTTACTCGCGATTGTCGCGACGGATTTCTATGTGATATGCCCGTACATAAATTGTAACAAATTTATTTAACGAATGAAAGAAAACGTCGAGACAGAAGCAAATCACAATCTGCTTAATGTTGCACACTGATAGAAGAAAAATGGTTGCAGTCACCACAATCTCACTATAATTTGTAGTTATTTTAGGAGCCAACCAAATTTTTATAATTCTTTCAACTGCGTAAGTTATGGTTGACCTAAAAAAATTAATATTGCAATAACAACCGCAAGTAAAATTTCGAATAACTATATGTAATAGTAATAATCGTATTTATATTGGAAGTAATATTCCCCTCTTTTTATTACATATACATTGCGTTCACTATGTTCACTGGTTACACCATTTTGCACTCATAAAGAATAGTACAAGAAAGCATCTTTCAAAGAAAAGATAAGTAATCTTATACGAATGTATAAACTTACCTATATTTATAACACCCTATGCGGTTTTCTTCTCACAAGAAAGTCTTATACATATTACAAATTACCCTTATAATATTTTATTTATACTTCAATGCGTTATACATTGGAAAGTACGAAATAGTAACGTGACATTAAATGACGTCTTTATGGCATCTTAATGACGTAATAAAACGTAATGAGACGTAATTAAAAAGTTATTTAACATCATCTTGCGCTACTTTGGATTCGATATATCACAGCAATATTACTGTTATATTACTGTGCAATATTTCTATGTAACTTATTAGTACTATTAATGTAATATTGCGATGTATTATATAAACGTATTATATTAGTAATATTACTGTAATATTACACTGCAATATTATAATATTACTGATATATTACGTAATATTATGTGCTATGTGGGTAATCAAGTTGCCAAATTTTGCGCAGAAAAATATCGTTTGAATAAATTGAAATCGTTCGAAAGTCGTTATTTTTAGTTTGCCCGGCAAAAATGAAGACCTGAAGCAGAGTAATCTGTTTGGCACGCGTGCGGCGAGTACAAAGGCAGAGATGATGACAAATGAGTTTACAAATATTTGGGGTTCGCAGTCGACTTAACAACGGATTGTCGGTGTAACCTGAGAGATTAGGATTAGGATAGACCTCCCTCGGGATGTAATCCGAGTACATTCGAGTAACTGTTTAACCCAAAGTTAAGCTGTCCGACTATGAGATTTGGAGCAGGTCAGACCGACACAGCAACCTACCTGCCTGCTGATCGGCAGAGGACAGTAAAAGAAAGAACGAAAAGGAAAACAGCTCGCTTAAAGAAGAGTTAAAGTTCTCTTTTTGTTCAGACCTTCTGTAAAGACTCCAAGACAGTTCTTAATAGGAAAACGTCTGAAAGGATGAAACTGGGCTGGCCTTGGGAGAAAAAGTGGGACTTTTCGAAGAGAGAAAAAGTGAACCCCAAGTATTGTATCTTCGGGAAAGGACGTCGCAAGTCAGCACAGTGGATGAAGAGGGACGGATCGGGGGAAGAGAGGTTCGTGCTCTAGAGAAAGAAAGTAGAGGGCTCGCGATCATATATCTGTGGGACGGTAGGGGGGTGTCAACGGGTCCGACAAGGTCCCAGCGGGGTTCCCGCTACCCGAATTGCCGGGACTCCCCATGTGAGAATCTGATACACTTAACGCTAAGCTACCGCAGCGGCTCCCGGATTATCCAGTTCTGACAGTTGCGATCGTATCCGTGTCCCGTAGAGAAGTTAACATTCGCGTGCCGCTCATAATCCGCTTTAAATCTAAAGTTCCTCGATTGGCGCGTACTCAATGCAACTGGGACTAGGAAGGAAAGCTAGCAATGTCGATTTATTAATTTTCTAGTCTGGAATGATTACAAGAGAATTAAAGCAGATTACTTGAAAAGGGTCCAAATCCGGGACCGTAGAGCAGATTACCTGAAAAGCGTCCAAATCCGGGACCGAAACGTCGTTTATTTTTTAAATAAAAACATTGGCCAGCGTAGGTCGTTTTTGAAAAACTATTGATACAATATTAAACCAATATTGCTAAATAGACATATTGGCTAAATAAAAGAAGGCGTCCATCTTACAATATTGAACCAGTATTGGAAATACTAGATTTATAATACATTATTTCCCAATATTGCGCCAATATATTGTGCTACTAGGGACGGGTTGAAATTGAGATTAGATTGAAAGTAAAGTTCATTAATCTCAAGTGAATTTTACTCTGATTGGTCAAATTTCAATCTTATCTCAATCTCAATCCGTAGTCTGATACCGGCTTCAAAATGCAATTAAATAATAAAACAGTAATCTTTCATTTCATACTACGTTCGATTAAAGTTAGTGAAACACATAACTATGTGTATAATATAAAACGTTTATTAAATTTAATTATTATATATGCATTGTTTATTAAACAAACCGAGAAAATGCATATGTTCTACATAATATTTCAATTTACGTGAACAGATACAAAATTCTCTATCTACTTACATGGAAAAAATGAATGAACTCCTTAAAGATAAAAAAACATATGAAGTAGTAAAGAAAGATCCCACACAAAAACTCGAGAAACAATTGCAACAATGTTTTCTGAAATGTTTCTGAAAGCTTTGGTGCTGTATGGGTAATTTCTAAGAGAATACATACATAATTATACTATATACAAAACAGACATTTTGCAGTTGGAAAATTGTAAAGAAAAAAAATGCGGCGCGACTTCAAATCAAATATATAAAAGATATCTGAAGGAACATTAATTTTTCTAAATTCGTTGATGTCGACGAGCGAGCATATTATCTTTTCATACCTCCCTCGGAATCACAAATTCATACGCAACCGCGAAACATCCCATAAAAACGTATTGTAATGAAAAAAAAGGCGGAAAAAGAGCACACGGGCGCAGAGACGCGTGTGCCTGTTTCCGAGGGCGAAAGGGCGCAACCCACCGTTCTTCCCCCTACGTCCTTCACAGCGCGTCGCATAAATGAGCAAGGGGATTCTCTATTACACGAGGGGTTGCAATCGGCGCGGCTGGTGACGCCATCTTGAATTTAATCGCCGGGAAAATGGTGGTAGTTCCGAGGCAACGTTGACGGAACATCTCGCTGCCTGATTTAAATAACTGATTTAAAATGTGTGCCCATATTTTTGTGAGAAGTGGTGAGGAAAATATTATTAGAAAAATATTGCAGTTTCGGACAATAATAATATTAACAAAAGTACGCGCGAACAGTATTAATATAACACTACTAATACAAACAGTTTGATCACCTGCTAATGTCCTAATTATGAAAATATGTACAATAAAAGGGTAATAAAAAATTCAAAATTGTTACATGCACTTAAGTATCCGATTATTGCAATAATGAAATATTGTTTAATAATAAAACCAATGTGTTTATTCTATATCTGCGTGTTAATAAGGGTTGCTTTCGAAGATTTAAGAAATAAATAATATATGTATATTATTAAATGTGGTAAAGTATATATTAAATGATCGCAAGATGAAATCGATTTATAAATATTTATTTCAACAATAAATGCCTCAAATGTGTAACAAATATAATATATAAAATGTATATAAAATATATATTTTTCAAATACATTCAGTCTTTGAATATTTACACCTAACATACTACAATTTTATATACGTTTTACATGTTTGTACACTTAACATATTATCATTATCAAAATACATCACTATATTTAACCTATTAAGAATATTATCATGAAAAAGGATAAGTACCGTTTATTTCGATTAATTATGTAAGGCGAGTAACGGTGAAAAATGGAAATCCTCATGGCTGAAGAATTTAAGGCAGTTTTAAAAGTTTCCTAGAGAACTTTTTAAAGAGAAGTTAACAAAATAACAGCCAGAATGATTGTTAACATTTTCCGAGAGAATATGACACTAAAAGAAAAGAAGAATATAGTGTATTATATAAGTATATACACACATTGTACATCTTGTATATTACATAAATATATGCAAAGCATTAGGAGAGAGAGAAAATGTATGTGTAAGATAAAAAAAAATGCACGGAAATGAAAATCGAGATTTGCAGAATAAAGAAAAAAGAAGAAAGTTCAATTATTATCCGTTATAGTTTTATGTTAGTTGTAAGTTCGATAAATCGCAAGATACAGCTAAAATAAGTCATAGTAGAAATAAACAAATGTAAAGCGGGGATTAAAGATATATTGTTAAAATTATTATTAAGAAACTTGAAGAAGGTTTTCTGGTGGGTCAGTCACAGTGTCTCATCGTATGTTGATCGAATAATTAACTGATAATTGGTTTTTGAAAAAACGAAAATAAGCAATATGTTTTAAATATTTCTATTTTAATACGAGAATTGCTCGAACGCTAGACTGACTTTACGGTGATATCGCAGTAATAAAAATATTCGGTATACCACAATGTTATCCGATTATAATATATTACAGTATGTTACACTGTAAAATGCGTAAATTATTTATTCCAACTTATATCTAAATTCATAATTCGAGTTGCAACGTCATAAGTTAGATAAGATCTCATCTAACTCAAAATGTTGCAAAATCTTGGATTATTTCTTGCATCATTTTCCCGATCTTACGAAACATTTGTCCCGACTAAGGCGTTTCGGAGTTATCCCATACAGCACACAAATGTTGAATCAACATCTCAGAAACGTTGCATTACAACATTGCAATATTGCATCAATGTCACAAAACGTAGTTTCAACGTTGAAAAGATATTGCAAAAATGTCTATAATGTCCGCCGAATTGTAATGTCTTGTAAACGTTACGATTCACCATTCAGAAAACATTGTTAAATTAATGAGTAAAGGAAATTAAGGCCAATTTACGAGCAATGAGTAAATTAACAAAGTAGATGTTTAATAAAAATCAGTGAACATAAGTCCGTGGAATACATTAATTAAATTGTTAAATTATATTGAGTTAACATTGGTCGCGTTTAACAGAATATTTCTTACAACTGTTGGAAGTGTTGAAATTGAATTATTCCACTAAAATAGTGATCCAATCGTAGCTCAGAAAATTTCTGACTGTTGCAAAAATATTATACATAGATACACATTTCATAATTATGCATTTTTTAAGTTTCTATTTGAGTGTCAAAAAATAATTTGTCCAAGATTGTTTTAACGTTGCAGCAATATAAAGAATTAATGTACAAACATTAACCCAGATTCAACGTAGAAAAGATATCTATACTTCAACATTCAACATTGCAACGTTGCAGCAACATTATTTTAACTTTCTGTGCTGTATGGGTATTGAGTTCACAGTCCGTTAAGTCGCCTAATCGATGTAAATCCCTCCGAAACGCTTGTCGAAAATCTCTAAGCGTCGAGAGGTAATTCACGTTTATTGTCAAAGTGACGTAAACATTAGAAAAATTAAATTTGTTTATTGTCAAAGTGCTCGTGCCCGATTCTCTATCGGAGATCCAACGTCAGATATGATAGAGGTATGGCGAATGCTCGGTAGTTTGTTGAAACGGGTAACTTAGAGAAGCGAACATGCCTAATGCCGCTGTCGAAACGCGATACGAATCGCGTAACTCGTGAGTCCTCATATGCTTCTTGAGGTGATCTTTGCGACCGAATGGCTTCTTGCAAAAGGTGCAGGAGTAAGGCCGGTCGCCAGTGTGAATTCGTTTGTGCCGCGTAAGTTCCTCATTTCTAGTAAATCGTTTCCCGCAGGAGTCGGCGTCGCACTTGAACGGTCGCTCACCTGTAGAAAACCTTTTCTTCGTCAAAAGTTTTCCGTGCTTTTTCTTACACAAATATACAAATTCTATTAAAAGCTTGGACTAACCAGTGTGTATGCGAATGTGACCAGTAAGCTGACCGCCGTTACTGAATGCCATGCTGCAATGTGGGCAGTTGTGTTTCTTCGGGCGCATCTTCTTCATCTCCTTAGCGACTGCATCCTGCCGATGCACCATTTGCACCGCCTCTTCCATGGAATGATTGTAAAGGTTTAAAGGAAAGATGCCGGGGTAAATGCCGGACTGAAACCCGGGATGTATTCCAGCGTAGACACTAGGGTGTATCCTGGAAATATCGGGAATGCGTTCGGGGCTCACAAACCACGGTCCCGCGTCCGAATTCGCCGCGATAATCGAGGCAAAGTGCTCCGACGGTCGAAAATCTCTAAGCGTCGAGAGATAATTGGGCGAAATGACACCGCTGGAAGCGTTCACCTCCACACCCCGCATGGGAATCGCGGCAACTGTCGAATCCACTGATGCCTGCGCGTGAAAGGCACGTGAGTTGCGTCTCGCATCTTGCACGACACCGACGAGAGCTTCGTCCTCGTCTGTAAGGGATGGCACAGTTCCGGTCGCCACGTTGTCGAAGGACGCGCTTCCTCGTATCCGCGTGCGATGAAAACCGATTAACGACGTCGGAGCAGCTCTTCCTTCATCCACGACATTGCCGTCGTGGTCGTCGGACGTGTCGACGGACGTGTCGACGGTGTCCGTCAAAGTTGTCGACGTCGTTGAGGACACGACCTGTTCGTCGTCTTCCTGTCTGCCATACGACACGTTGAGGAGCGCGCTATCAACGGTTTCGGAAGCTTTGTTCGTTGTCTCCTTATCCTTCCAAGGTTGAAATAAGCCCACGGTCTTTGGCTTGGACATCTTGGGAAGAATGTTGAACCAAATTTGACGCTTAGCACTTTACTTCCTGTCCCACGCGTAAGACTGCGTCGCACGCAAATATAACAGTCAACACGATGGTAAGAGCTGTTCAAAGGTGACTGAGTACGAATCTAGTCGCGTCGCGATCTTATACTCATAGAAATATTTTCCCCTGCCAATGGCCTTTCGGGGGTCTAGCCAATCCACTTTAGGGATGGAGGAGGGAGGGCTCGTCCTTCGTAAAGCATCGGCTGCAGGAGGCTGAAAGCACGGACGCCGTTGGCAGTAGGGACCGTAGGTGGGTTTAGAGGGGCCTGTCGAGGGCTCGATGCGAGATACGCAGCCCCTTTGTAGAAAATTAATCGGTCGCTGCGGCCACGAGGCTCTCGCCCCTTTTGTCACGAGTGAGCACGAGGAGTGCAGGCATAAGGGAGGGAGAGGCACGAACGATCAGTGTGGAAAGTCAGCGCGGCTGGAGGGGCAGGGAGAGCCGATGCAGAACCGATACAAACGAACGATATCGAAGGGTGGCGAAGGCCTATCGCGGGCCCACCCCGTTCGCTCGAGCATGTCGCTTTCTTCAAGCGATTCCGACGAGGCACGCCCGTGACACAAAATTTCACATCGGCGCCGATTGTTATTGGTCGCCGAAGGGTTGGGATCACCGGCGACTCGCGCACAAGCGTGGGAGATGTTACTATTATACACTGAGAAAAATTTCCATCGGATAAACTAATTAAATAGTATGTCCGATGGTTAATTTTTCCGATTACGTTTTCCGATTAAATTATGGATATATCCGATGAAATTTATCCGATGAAATGCAATTACCGGTGAAATTTAATTGAAAAACCGATTAAATTTTTCATCGGATATACAATTTAATCGGATATATTCGTTTGTTATCATGTAATTGGATTATCCGATTATATTTAATCGGACATTTTTCTCAGTGTAGAGATGAGACATTTCTTATTCGGCTCGCCCAATTGTCACTGTCGCCATTTTTAATAACACATTGCGCTATTGTAGCAATCTAACAGCAGATATATTAGCGCCAGTCGAGAATTAAGAAATAAAATTATGTGTGGAAACGACCTTACTGACACTTCCTTGTTCTATTATAAAATTTACAACGTTTCGGCCAGTGAGACTGATCTTCTTCAGGTCACAAACTTACGTGAGTAACCGCAAATGTAAGGTTCGTCGAAATTTAAGACGTGAAATTATGTCAAACGTTAAATATATCGCAGTACATTGTGTCTTATAGTCATCGGCGTTAGAACACAGAATTCATTTCGGTTGTACTCTCTGTCACTGCGGATGTAAGTTCGTTACCTGAAGAGGACCAGTATTAACTGACCGAAACGTTGTAAATTTTATAATAGAATAAAGAAGTGTGGTCAGTAAGGTCGTTTCCACACTTAATTTTATTTCTACATTACGCTATTCTTCGTCGTGTAATATAATAAGTATTGTATTTAACAAGTGACCTGTATTCGTGCCATTTGTGCGCTAAGTATTTTTAATATTAAATAATACGAAAGAATATTATAAGCCATTTCACTTGTTGGATTGTAAGTTATTAGGTGCGTTACAATGTTTCTGAAAATATATTTACAGTGATATTGTTACACTTAATGTATATCGTTATCTCTAATTGTAAGATCAATTTCACCGTGCAACAAAATTTTGGTCATGATCGCGCCTCATTTTGAAACCTATTCGGCTCACATTCTGGTGCCAAAAGAAACCCGAAAACGCCTTTCATTCCCCTAGGAAAATAGGATTCTGTTCAGGAGATCAAATTTATTATTTTTCTCACATTGATCGCTACATTTCTGCCAAAGATACGATCCAGTCTTGTACTGCCGGTTGAGGGTTTATTTCTAGGGACTATTTTAAAAGAAAAAGTAGGCGTTGGAAGCAGCTACTTTTTCTTTTAAAATAGTCCCTAGAAATAAACCCTCAACCGGCAGTTATACAAGACTGGATCGTATAATCTTTGGCAGAAATGTAGCGAAATGTGAGAAAAATGATAAATTTGATCTCCTGGACAGAATCCTATAATTTTCCTAGGGGAATGAAAGGCGTTTTCGGGTTTCTTTTGGCACCAGAATGTGAGCCGAATAGGTTGCAAAATGAGGCGTGATCATGACCAAAATTTTGTTGCACGGTGTTATTTATACATTTAGAATACATATCTGTCTGTGAAGTAAATATAAATTTCTGAAAGGCGTTTATGAAATCAAGGGAAAATCGGAGATCTGATTTTTCTAGTTTTCCTTTATCTATTTTTTGTGACAAGGAAGCGCACGCGAAATATACAGCGAGTACTTTATTTAGTTAGTCGAGCTGCCAAGTTTTGTTTCTCAATTTTGAATAGTCAAGATAAAAATATACATAAATATCAGGGTTGGGAAGTAACTCGTTACCTTGTAACGTAATTACAGTTACAGTTACTTTTTTTGGTAACTCGACTAACTTAACTTTGTTACTTTCTCTCCACCTGTTACCGCAACTTAACTCAGTTACATTTTTTCGTTAATTAGCAACTAATTTAATAGTTACACAACCTCCACAGATCGCATCAGGCCTTGCCTTGGCGCATAAATGCTCTTATCGACACTTTACAATTCAAATGCAGATATTTTTGATATTTTTATTTTTATTGCAAGAAAGTAACTGCAAAGTAACGATTCGTTACTTTTTGAGTAACTGTAACGCGTTACTTTTCAGAACTGGTAACTTGTAACTGTACCTAGAAACTTTTATAAAGTAACTTTCCAACCCCGCGCCATTCCCTTTCGTCCGATTATATTATATTACATCACTGTATATCTCGTGATATAAATCGTAATATAAAATATAATGACAGATTAACTGTAGAAACCGAGAATCTATTGGCAGAATACGAGTCGAATATAGCTAATGTCAATTTATCGCGATATTCTATTCGTATCTGCTGACAATCCGCGTACTGCTAACAGTTTTTACCAAAGGGCATACCGATTATACACAAAGATCTTGGAGAGAATAAATCGCAAAAGCATGTCATTGATTTATTGTAACATTCGAGGAGACAAAGAAAATGAAAGTCCGCCCTACCGCCTCAGAAACAGATAGCCACCCCCGTCGATCCACGTCGCCTACCCTCCAACCCTCCTCTCAACCATCGACTGTTTCGCTTTCATCGGTTTATCTCGCTTCCACCGACCGTGACAACGCTCTTCTGCCAAAACGACGTTTCTATGAAACCGGCTGTGGGTCCATCGATACCTTCGGCACTGCCCTTCATCGCATTCGTCACATCGTTGCCTCATCTTCGCGCAATCGTACAATCTTCCGTGCATCACACAATTTTATGTGGCATTAATAGATTCTGACAGCAAGTCGCAGGCCATTTTCTGTACTCGGATAAAGTATAGAACATATAAAACGGATCACCTTTTCGAAACTTTCTTTTATTCTTTCTTCCAACTTGTTAACAAATGTGTAACAACTGTATAAAGGTTGTTTAGTCAAAGATAAATAAGAAAATTGTTACGCACGTTTGTAAAGCAAGCCTTTTTAGGAAATACAAAAACATTATTAATCAATTATAAATTAATTTTTTTATATCTTCTGAAAAATATAGATTCGCTATCGGATTTCGTAGAATTGTATCCCGAATTTCTTTATAATTTGGCACGAGACTAAATTTCTAAAGATCTCTGAAAACGAAGCGTTGCATTTTTCCCCTTTCTTCATACGTTATTGGTCCAAAAGCCAATAAATTTAGTCATATAAATCACCGCACCTTCATCAACGGGAAAAAATTGAAAAAACAAATACTTGGAATACTTTTCTCCCTTTTCTTTGATTTGCTTCTATTTGAATAGATGTCAACCTGATGATGGATTTATCGGACCTAAGAAGTTACTTCAGTTTCCTTTTTGCTAACAGTTATCCATTCGTCTTACTTAAAGTGACGGATTTCACAACAGCCGGTTATATGGCCATCGCGTGTCAAGCTGAAGTTGCGATTCCTGCGGTAATAAAAAGGACGAAGGTACGCGACTGTTTACTCAACGATCGTCCATTGCGGGTCTCTGCCTGCACGAATGCCTAAACTTTTTCTACCTGGCCATTACTCGCTACCATTTCGGAATCCACGGAGTATTTGCCATTTGTACAGAAGTTAATAATTCTAGATCGTCGTCGCAAATTGACATTTCAATATTGGTCTTTCTCACGATCCCGCGTAATCTCTTAAATTCGCTCTTATAAAGCGAGATCGATGAAGATATTGCCTTGCTTACTATTGGGATTTACAAGCGATTCAATTCCGCTTTTGTCAAACCAAATCGCTAATTCAAATCCAAATTCCGATATCAATATCTTAGCGTGTTGCAGCGTGCCATATGTTGGCGATTTCATCGAAAAACTAAGAAATAACAGACACACGACAATTTGAATGTTCGTGTTACGAAACGGTGCATCAAGAGATCCATCAAACGAGCACCGTTTGCACGATAGTTTTACGCCCCATGCGCTACAATTGCCAGAAATCGATCTGTTCCGATTGAAATGGAAAAAAAGAACATGAGCGATCGTGGGTGCATCGCTGTCGTTTCGTAATATCGTTTTCTGGAGTTTTATTGTACATCCGTCAATGACCGGTGATGGATCAGGCGGCTACAAATATCGCACACTTCTACCCAATCTTGTTGAATTTATTGGGAGCACTTTTTTTTCGCAGATTGCTGCGGTTTAGGAAGGTATTGTGTCCAGGGGTGACAAAAACTGGCGTCACGCAAAAATATAGTTCGTTGCGGCTGTCCGACGGCCTTCGCTGCACCTAATATTTCACCGCACACACTTCATAATATCTTCTCAGTCCTCACACTCTTGAAATGTAAAATATAAATTTATAAACTCTAATATTAATATTAATTATTTGCATATTTGTTAAAATATGAGGATATTAAATACATTAAAGTGAATAAGTGAATAGAACTGATAAAAGTGTAATTCAATTGAGAAACACCAATTATCAGAGCTGGTTATTTGTAGCCTTGAAATGTAAAATATAAATTTGCAAACTCTAATATTAATATTAATTATTTGCAATTTGTTAAAATATGAGGATAATAAATACTTTAAAATGAATAAGTGAATAGAACTGATAAAAGTGTAATTCAATTAAGAAATGCCAAGTATCGGAGCTGGTTCTATTATTCAGAAAAAATTCCAGAAGTACTGCGATCTTTCTTAATAAAGTTGTACATTGTACAGTATTATTTATAACAATTGTAAGAACAATCATATTTTGTTCTACTCAATCACTCAAATCTTAATACAAAACATTAAAAGTAGACAAAACAGCAAATATGCGTGTGTAGATAATTTCAAC